GTTCGTGCCTTGTACCGTCACATGATTCCCTCACAGTTTGTTACAGATTTAGGCATAAATTCAGGATAGATTATAGCTAAAGCTGAAAAACCTACTGTAAAGAAGAATGGTAATAATTTAAAGAATGTAGGCACAGCAAATTCTGTATCTATTAATATTTCATGCATAAGGAACAAGAAGAGTTTAACATTGTTAGACTATGGTTACTAACCTATGGTTTACCTGTTGTTCATGTGCCCAGTATTTTCAATTGCTCCTTACATTAATGAAAATATTATAACAATAATAGGAATTTGCTTATTAATAGGTGCTATGGCAAAAAGTTAGATATGATTTTTAAGTCTTTATATTTATCTAAGAATAAATCAACATTGTTTTGACTGGATCTTTTCTACGTGGTTGAAGCCATTGATGGCGAGCGCTTCCTCGATGTCGTAGGGTTTGGCCGTGTAGGGGAGGTTACCTAGACCCAATCGTCAGCGTTTATCGAAAGGCAGAGGCGCCGAGGGCCGTACCCAGGTAGATGCGTGTGGCCAAGGCGTCAGGTTGGCTCTGGGGAGCTTGTTCCATGACTGGATCCATGTACCGCGATGATATATTTGTCCAGGTGCTGTCATTCAAGACGTCCTGGCAAACTGCGACGCGGCAAAATTTAACTGTCCATGTCCGTCGGACAAAAAGGTTGGCTGCAGACGGCGCCGTGCCTGATTGAGGTGCCGCCAAACGCGGAGGAGGGATCCAATCAAGAGAAGGTAGGCATTCGGAGAGCGGCGCTGTTGATGCGAGCTGGCTGGGGGAATAATCACGGCTCACGGCGGTGCTGCTATGGTTTCTGCGACAGTAGTAAATAGCATGCTCCACCTGTCGCCGTTGCTGAACTTCTCCCCGCTCTTCATTTCTCTATATACAATTCTGAGCACGTCACCTACCGATTTGGGGCATCTAGACTGCCGACGAGTAAATATGTTATCAATACTATGTATTATCAAATGACTCACCTAGCAGGACCTATTTGTCTACAAGCTTCGCATTAGCTTCTCAGAGTCGAACTTGGCTATATGGTTCAAATTATGAGCTAGCTAGCGAAACATACCAGCCACGGCCTTTCTGTCCAATGAAAAGGTGGCCTCTTCGAAGCCTTTCTATATGCACTGAGGTGGCTTTCGCGTAGCATATTAAGTGAACTTATTAGGACATGTTGCTATTCTTGGAGTTGATACGCGCAAAGAGTACACCCCGACCAATTTGGAGCACATTTAAGCCTTCGCAATGACCTGTCATTGTTGCGAGGCTTTCTTAGGTCTTCATCTTCTAGTTAAGTCATATGGTGACTGGCTGGCGGCGTACACGGAACTGGCGGGTAAATTGCCGGCTAAAAAAATGCGCGTGATGGCGTATTGGCAGACGTAGTAATACCGTGTTCAACTCGTGTAGTAAAAGCGGCAGTTGGTTATACACTAAGCCAACCTCACGGAGGAAGTAAACTACGTGGCCGCGATACTTGTACTGCTGCCCTCGCACAAGCATAATGTTCATGTGGACATGAACGCGAGCAATTAACGCCTCTTCGGTAGGCGTAAGCTGGGGCAATCGCGCCGGCACAGGGCCACAGTCGAGCTGATTATCCGCAGAGAAGAAAACACGGCTCGCCGGGGTTTCGCATGTTTTCGATGGCAACGCTCACAGATGCCGTCAGGATCGATCTTCATCTGAAACCAACTCTCTTGGCATCCACTGCAATATTCCATCTGATCATTGTCCAGCATGGTCCAGAACTCGCGGATGGTGGCCTTATCGCGGTCAGCCAAGGCGGAGGCGTCAAGATCGCCATTACACACCGGATCTTGTGCATGAAATACAGCTCATTCTTCGGGTGAAATTATCACCGGACTCCGAACACTTCGTGGCGGTATCGATGACCAACTTTGCCTTCGAGATTTTTCGTGGCCGCCCTCCTGTACCAGGGGCAGGTCCACGGCGACCACGCCTTGACTGTGCGACAGGCTGCCGTGAGCGACGGCGAAGAGGGCTCTCATCCACGCAATCGTTGTTGCAGACCTCATCTTCGTCCCCTGGGTCGGAATCAGAGCGTTGCCGTGGTGCCCAACCGGGTCCCACATTGGCTTGATGGTGGGTGGGGCGCCCTTCAGTCTTCACAACACCAACACCAGCTTCAAGTCTATTAACAGGTTTGCACCTCCACACCATGACCGAGAGAACGAGGATCGAAGAGCTTGAGAGGCTTTTACGAGAAGCTGAGCTACGTGCCGAGTTGGCAGATAGGCAACGGCTAGAGGAGCGACAACGCGCTGAGAGAGAAGAACAACGCGCTGAAACTGCAGAAGAGCAGACCCGTCGCACAACGTTGGACGAATACATCGCGGCTTGCCATGGTCTTGTGTTCTCGAAATTCGCGGTCGAAACCGAGAAATCGCTCACATCCAAAGGCTCCATCACAAACCCCAGGAATGAGAAATCCCTCACATCCAAAGGCTCCATCACAAACCCCAGGAATAAACTATGTCCAACAAGTCTCCAACCGTGGTCAGACTTCCTAGAGCAACAGAGGATCGCCTCTGGCGTACTCTACGACGCGTTTCCCACGGAGACGCGACTCTTCGAATCTCGGAACTTCCTGTCCGGCCTTGGACACAGGATTTCCCAGCGGCCGATCGCGAACGAGAAGGACCTGGAGTACTTCCTTCATAACAGCGTGGAGGATCCAGTTAGATCCATTCTGCATCAGCTCAAAGAGGTGGAAGAAATTCAAGCCGTTTATGGGATTGGAGGAGGCATCATATTCGAAAATCACCTCAATGCCATAAGCGATGTATCACCGGAGGTCGTTGACCGTGAGAGTG